GTCAACAAAGCGATTCTCATGGACACCACTCACCGTTGATTCGTACGACGACAACGACTGGTCAAACTGGGACACCCCGAGTGCTAGCTCGCCCCGTTGGAGTGGCACAACAGTGAATGGCGACATCATTCCCTCAATCCCCGAGAAGCGCGATGAGAATGACACGCCTCTGTAAGATGTTCACACTTCTCAAGCGATGATTTTCACTGACATACTCCCCAGCAAATCCAAGTCATCCAAATCCCGGCTCTCTGGGGGGCATAACTCGTCACCGAGTGCGCACAAGCTAGAGGAGCTCCTGCCTCCGATGCTGAACCGTCTCGCGCCGAGCAACCTTAAGAAGGCCACTTCGGACTTGATGAAGGAGTGGGAGCGGAGCCTGTACCCTCAGTCTGAGTTCCCTGCGGCGCCAGTCGTGGCGGGTGCGGACAAGGCCGCGCAGGGCTCGCTTGTGTGATGCTCGCCGCCGGTTGCCAAAGAGATGTGATGAAGTTCAATGTTGGTTACAAATGTTGCATATTTCGGAGATGCATACCAACATGTATAGCGGGTTTGATGTGGATGGCGGGAATCATGGTTGGGATATGGGACACTTGGATCGGGGGTTGGTACATGGGTTGGAATCGGAGCGGGGTTGGCCTGTCATCGCATCGGCTTAATGATAATGACGCGATGATGTATATATGTAAATACTATGTATGATGACATGCAAAGCGTCTTGCAATTTTCTCGAGGTGGCGGGAGGTGAGTTTGGACTTCTGAATTGTCATCGACACCTTTGTCATTCTGTCGAGCCTTCTATGTGGCTCGTACAAATGCCAGGCGACTCAATTCCCATCCCAGACATGCTGGGCGAAAAAAATGCACGAACCTGACCTCTATTGCAGAAGCTGAGTACATGCTCTGTTCGACGAGTCACCAGCTTATCGATGACGTTGACAGGTAGCTGGAGGTTGTGTGCATTTTTGAAGAGCCTCAGAAACCTGCGAGGCTGGGCCCCGTTGTTACTGGCATCGTTGGCTCAACAATCTAATCATACCTGATCGGAAGGAAATATTACCCGAACCCTCGTTCTTCAGCCATAGCTGAACACGACTCCTTCAGCTCCTGAGATGTTTAGCCAGAGAGGTGAATGCTACGGTGGCTCTGCTCATATAGTGGTTCCATCGTCGATGGGGCGTCTGAGGTGGGCCTTGAGTTTATTGTTTGCGGCGAAGTTGCTTCTATTGCTATGTACCCTCAGCTAAAGTTGCTTCACATGTCCCTAGGGTTACATCTCAGTTTAAACCCGACTCTCAGCGAAAATATCCACAAAACCAAGAAAATAAGAATACGATCTCAAAAGTATGCAGAGTGTCTTGCATTTGCATTACTGAGACCCTCATGCTCGTTGGTTCCCATCACGAGCCGCTGCGCGGGTCACACTGCCCACCTAGCGATCCACTCGCCTTCCCGCCGATCCCGGCGATGTGGTTCCACATTCCAACGCCATCCTATTCTTAGCAGCCATCATCGCCATCTCGAAACCAGCAGCTGACGATACTGGGGCTACTGAGCTTCTTACTTTCTCGCTTTTTTTACGCAAAAGAAACTGAGGCGCATCGCCGAGTTGGAGGAGGCGCTGCTTTCGCAGATGCGCGCTTGCTCAGCGCACGAATCGGAAAAAAGAAGAATCGGGGTTCGATGAACCGCTGACGTTGATCTGATCCTGATCCTGGGCAGCTTGAGAGCTCAGCTCAGCCCTACAGATTGCGCGCAGCTGTCCTGCTTGAGCACTTTGCCTCTGTTGTGATTGAGGTGATGTTGTGCAACCTCGGGAAATGCTTGTCATTATCACCAGCAGCTGGCCAGCCAGCCACCTCCACAGCCTCAACCTCTGCTCACCTCCTTCGGTGAGATGGTGTACCTGCCGGCAGTTGGGATGCGTAGCTACGCCGGCCGCACATCCGTATCCGACCCTCCTTCGCCGAGAACCGATCACACGTTGGTAACATGCCTCAATATCGGGCCGGAGAGGAGTTGATGCTTCGCCTCGTTCGCTTGGAAGTTCAGCTGTTCGCATTCTGAATCTATAGTGTAATACTCCTTCGTAGGTTGCAACTGTGATATGATGAATAAGAACCACACACCACACGTTCGAGTATATAAAATCGGCCGTTGATGCCCACTCTCAAATCTCATCGCCATCCAACAACTCACACCCATCCTCGCCCAACGCCAAACCAAAACCCAACACGCCGAGCCCAGTCTTCAGACTCGTCCCCCTAAACCCCCAAAATGCAGCTCACCACCCTCTTCCTTGCCACACTCCCGGCCCTCACCCTCGCCGCCCCCTCCACTAAGCGCGACTGCACACCTATCTTCCCTCTTGGCACCTCCCAAATTTCCCTCTCCAAAGCCGTCGGCTCCCCTTCAACAAGCCAACTCCTCTCCTTCGTATGTCCCCTTCTTCCCGCCTTTCAACCCAAAACTAACAACCAGCAGAACATCCCCCCAGGCTCCTCCGGCCCTTGCACCCTCATCGCCACGTTCCCGGCGAACTTCCCCATCTCCTCAAGCGGTAATGCCCAGGTAAACGTCATCGACGTCAACGGGCCTGTTGCGGGAGCCATCGTGGGAACGGTCACGTTCAGCAGTGAGACTTGGGGACCGAAGAAGACGTTTATCAACTCTTTTGGGTGCCGGCCGAATATGCAGTTTGAGTTGGAGCTGGCGACGGAGGGCGCGGGAAGTGTTAGCTTTGCGAATGGGAATGGTGCGGGCGTAGCGATTACTGCTGGGTGTTAGAGAGCTAGGATTCTGATGGCTTTGGAGTTGGGATCAAGGGGAGCATACAAGGTCATGCATGGGTGGCGTTCAAGGTATGTGTTTGAGATAGGGTAATGTATTTTTGGGCAAGGTGGTAAAGTCATTCCTTGGCTAGCTGTTGACACAATATGACGCCATCACGGCAGTTCGAATAGTATTCGTTCTATTATGATGGTGAACGTGTGAACCTCTGGCTGGAGGGGAGATTAGCGTCTTGAAGATGGTTAAACATAACTCACTTGCCAGGTTGGACAAGAGTTGACACTAGAAGCATCACTTCAAATCAGCTCAAAATTGAAGATCTATCCGACCCCCGGCAGAGAACTTCCAACTCCGGCGAGAAAACCCTGAAACCTATTTGACAAACGCCATGACAGCGTACCGGAAACTGCCGTTCGAATACCCCCTTCTCATGGCCCGGAAGGACTGCAAGAAGGCAATGCCGTCTCTACCCTGAGTGAAGGCAAAACCCCACAAAGCTGGGTTTTGCACGAGCGACCATGAAATGTCCCTAGGCTTGTCAGCTCACCCTTTTCCAAGACGAAGAATCTCGTCCAACATACCATGTTTTGCTCACGTCCTTGCTGATATCCTTCGGACCACCAGAGACTTCCAATCCTGCATCTTTGGCAAACTGGACATACCCCTGCTGAATGCAGAGCGGCGGCAACAGCATACCATCTGCTCACTGTCAGTAACTCTCTCAGTCTCTCCATTTCCCAACCATAACCAGAGCTCACCCTCAATTAGCTTGATATCGTCATCAAATTCCTTCTGCCCCAGGCCCTCAGCTTTGAACCAATCCGCCAACACCAACTTCCCACCCTTCTTCAGAACCTTATGGGCATTCCGGAAGAATAGTGCCTTGTTTGGAAAGTGACTGAGAGCCTCGCTAATCCACACCGCATCGAAAGCTCCCTCGTCCTTGGCAAAGTGCTCGCCCATCTGCTCAGCATCCAGCTCGATAAATCTCACCTTTCCCTTTCCCAGAGCGATGAACCCATCCGCGTCAGCTTCCGCTTCCTTGGCGGCCTCTCCCTTGGTAAGCCGTGTTGCTATCTGGACTTGCTTCCCCGAGATGGTGATGCCGGTGACGGTGCACCCAAGCTGCGCGGCAAGGTACCGCGACGTCCCGCCGACACCGCAGCCGACGTCAAGAACGGTGCTGCCATCAGAAACACCGGAGATGTCTAAGAGCAGACGGATCAAGTTGATCTGCGCCACCTCCTTCGAGTCATTGGCCTTGGCCTCGTCGGTTGCCCAATACCCGTGGTGGATGTGCTCTCCCCTTTTTTCTCTGGGCGTCAGCAACGCAAACACGCACACAAACAACCTGGAAGGACAAAAAAGCAAGAGACACAAAACATACCAAAGATTGAGATAGTAATCACTCGCCAAATCATAGTGAAGCTTAATCCTGTCCTTCAACGCCTGCATTGTTGTATGAGCCAGCCCCATCGGCGTCTCATACTGCTTGCTGAGCTCCGTGACCTCGTCCCCCGCCACCGCGGGAGTCGAGGCAGCAGTCGCAGCCATCCTGAACTCGACAAAAATAAAAAGAAAGAAGTAGCTGCCCTGGCGGAAAGGAAAACAATTGGATCTCGTGCTCACGTCCAAGATCAACGAACGCTGAAGGGGAAAGCGCAGCGTTGATCTACTCGGGAGAAGAACGAACCGAGCCCGAAAGTTTCCCCAACGCTCAAGGGCAGGCACGATAGGTCACGGCGTCATAGGGGCGTTTTTTTTTACTGGTGTCCGGTCCACTAGACCGCCTCCCGAACGAGATGCAGGCCCTCGCCGACAGGGAGTGGAGACGCAGGCCGTGCCCATTGGTCATAGTAGGTATGCAAGCAGCGCTGATGAAGGAGGACTGTTACTATGTAGTGAGCAGGGGTGGAAAGGGTGAGGGGGATTTGCAGTTTTTGATTTTGGACCGAGATTTGGGATGCCGAAAAATGGCGTTGTTGAATGTGGGATGGTACAACCCGGTCCCATCATCACGCAGAACCGTTGACGTCAAGGGAGTGAGTGGGTGGATTTCAAACACAATATAATCCCTCAACTTATAAGAGTGCGCTGCGGGCGTGGTTGAATGCTTGGGCCCAAGTCGATCCTCCAGCACAATCCCGGGTGAAGGTGAACACTTCAGCAAAATGTGGAAGAGCAGGTCATCGGAAATGGCAAAAATACAATGACAACTGTGAGATTCGAACTCACGCCACTTTCGTGATTAGAATGCACCCCTTTGCAGGGCAAGGAGATGTCCTTGAGTCTAACGCCTTAACCAGCTCGGCCAAGTTGCCTTGATTGGATGATGTGAGTTGACCACTTCGACATCCATCAACGTCGCACTGCCAGACTGTAGCAGTGAGAATGTCTTCCTCCTGCCGAAGCTTGGTGAGAATAACCTGATCCGTAGACCGTTTATGTTTACGGTCAAGTGAACAGCGTCCGTGGACATCTTGTGTCGAGGAACAGCTGAAGATGTGCCGCAGACCCTGTCAGCACAAAGCCCGAGATGTTCCATGTGATGCCATCCACGAGAGCCTCCACGGCGGATTCGGACGTCCCATGGACACGGCAAATACCGATGCGCTGCAGTGATCCAAAGAAATTTGATACATTTGCCCACAAAAACAATCCGTTCTGTCTGGCAATAAATTACGTATAGCAGGCCTGCGCCGATGCCACACATGCTTGGGATATCGTTCGCCCACCACCACATCCGCCCCAGAGCCGTCGAGTCTCCGTGTCCATGGTTTTATCTCGAATGCTCTGCCAAGCCTTGCCTGCCGCAGCAATTGTCTGCCATCTGTGTGACCACGTATCGAATAGCCCACCACTTGCGCAAGGCCTCCCTATCCTACCATCCTGTCGCCCCCGCGCCCGTCCGCTCCTTTATGCGCCGCCGACGAGGACGTTATTGAGGGGGATGTGGATAAGTTTAACGACGTAACCGACGGCACCCATGACTGCGTCGCATTGTTAGTTCTCGTAGATGGGAAGAACTCGGGGAATGAGGGCTTACTCAGGAAGCCGACACCAACAGCCTGCGAGATCTTGATAAATTCCCTACGGTCGGCTACAGTCACATTAGTCTGCAATTCCCACCAATCCAACTCTTCAGGAGAGGGGTGCCTACGTTTCTGCGACTTGTTGATGAACTGGATGCCATCCCTGAGGAACTCGCGCGGCACGTCGAGGATTTCTTGGACCTGGTCCGACATGGCGACTTGTGATGTGTAGATGTGGTGTAGAAGTGGGAATGGGTATTCGTCTCGTGGATAGGAATTCGGCGCGGTGGAACGAAGACCTCGTTTGTTCGTGGGAAATGGGACGTGGCCGGTTGACTGTCGCGTTGGTGGTGAATAAGAGAAACAGCTGTCACAAAAGGAGCTGGGACCCCTACCAAATGCCACCTCGCCTCAAAAAGTTCAGCGGCGATTCCATGCCGCCCCAGACATGGGTGGCTCGTGCTCCGCCGAAAGGGGGTCCCGCCTGTGGCTGGGTGTGGAGACAGCTGGGAAATTTTAGCGGGGCCATCGCAGCGGCAGCTCTCGCGGATTGGAGAAAGTGCTTCAGTTCCAAATTTCAGTCTTGATGGTTTCGATGTAGTCGCGATTATGATAGCAGCGCTATGGGTGTGTCGAAGCTGCGCGCGGTCGCTGAGACGCGTCGGCGTTTCGCAGTTTATTCGGAAAGTCAGCGCTGGTTTGTGATCCTTTTCCAGCACTCAATGGCACGCACAGCAACTTATAATGTTCTCCGTGACAGCAGCCACAGCATCGACGCTCCCACCAGCTCTGCTTCAGAGAGCTAGGAAAGTGGCCGCTGAACACGAAAAGCTCAGCGCCGAGCTAGCGACATCTTCTAGCTATGACGAGAAGGCAGCTAGGCGCATCGGCGAAATTGCGGGGGTTGCGGCCGCACTGAGAGAGCTCGAGAAGACCAAGGAGTCGCTGGCCGAGCTCAACGGCCTCCTAGAGTCAGACGACGCTGAGCTGCGCGAGTTGGCCAAGGATGACTTGGAAGCTACGAATTCCCAACTAGAGGCTCTGGAGCGTAACCTCTCCGTGGCACTGACACCGAAGCATCCTTTCGCCGACATGCACTGTCTTCTCGAGATACGACCAGGTCCTGGCGGCACCGAAGGCCGCTTCTTTGCCGACTCGCTTTTCAAAATGTATACAAGCTACTGCGCAAACAAAAACTACCGCACACGCATCGTCAAGTACGAAAAGTCGGACGGCGATGGGCAGACTAGCTCCGAGGGCGAAGCAGCGCTTCAGGAGGCCGTGATCGAGGTGCAAGAAGATGGCGCATACAATATGTTCCGCGGAGAGGCAGGGATGCACCGGGTGCAGCGAGTACCTTCCACCGAGAAGACCGGACGCACACATACTAGCGCCGTGGCGGTTTGGGTGCTGCCGTCCTTTCCGGAAAACGGCGCTGGGTCCGAGGCCGAGAGCGAGTGGGATAATCCTGAAAGCGACTTTTATATCGATCCGGCAGAGGTTCGCTCGGAGAAGATGCGAGCCGGCGGTGCCGGCGGTCAACATGTCAACAAGACAGAATCGGCCATCCGCTTGACGCATATCCCCACCGGTACAACAGTCAGCATGCAGGATTCGCGGTCACAGCACGTCAATCGCAGAGACGCATGGCGGCTGCTTCGATCACGAATTGCGCAGCAGCGGCGTGAGGCACGCGAGGAGCAGGCCCGACTGATGAGAAACAGTGTCCTCTCACAGTCGCAGATTACGCGCGGCGACAAAATCCGGACGTACCAATACCAACAAGATCGATGTACAGACCATCGCAGCGGAGCAGACTTCCACAACCTTCCCGACATCCTCGAGGGCGGAGAGACGCTTGAAAAGGTCATGAGAAGCTCTCAAGGCTGGTTTGTCGAACGAGATATCCAGGCGCTCATTGCCGAGGAAATGGTGAAGGACGCGGAGAGCAAGGCTCGAAAGTAACAGCAATGGTGTAGCCGCTTGGCTCGCGTGTTTTTCATGTGTGGAATACTCTGTATACACCGGCCTCCTGTACATATTGTAGCATGTAGTTAGACTGGCCGCAAGATTCATAGGCCTATTCTGGTGTTCTGTGGGAAGTCAGTCATTTGCCCGTCGCCTTACTCTTCATCTTGGCAGCTGAAGTTCCGCTCGAACCAGTACACGCCCAAGTTGAGATTACAAATTTGCGACTCGGTGTCACTTGCGCGAGGGTGTCCTCTTAGACGCAGAACACGGGGTTGAGGTGCTAGCAGCGAGCCCGCCCCTTGTTGTGGAGCTGTTTGTTTTTGTGTGGCAGCGACTTGGCCGAATGGGTCTCAGCCTATCAACCGCTTTAGACGTCCAACCTTCCCCTGACATCCACAACTGGATGTGTTGACTTTTCAGTCTCAGATCAGCCCTCGTTCTACATCACCAATATTTTTTGGTGTTCTGTCTCACTGAACAGCGGCGATGCGTGATTTCCTTCTGTATCACAGCCCTTAACGTTCGACCGAAACATAGGTAGCCAGTGTTGCGAGTGACAAGCCTCGTGGACCCCGGTATGGCCGTCCCCATCCAGTCGCTGGTCGCTGGTCGCTGGTCGCTGGTCGCCTGGCCACCTGGCCGCTTGGGAGTTTGTTAACTTGGACAGCCCGAAACTTACCTGTAGCATGCATGCGGCTCTGGTGTTAGAAGCTCTCGACGGTAGCAACAAACAAAAAGACACATGATGAATTCGGCTGGAGTTTCGATCCCATGTAGTACCCGTCAGTGGAGCCTCGAGCTCCCAGACTTACTTTGCACACCTACTGATGTTGCAACTTGCACGGTTCCATGCCTTGCGGTAGGCGGCTCAATGCGTACTCCTCGCTTGGGTGCAGCTCGTTGCTCCCGTCAGCCCAACGAGGAGGGATTGCTACGCACGAATGGCGAGATCGCACGCGAACAACCCCACGAATCCATTTACTTGATTCATCGGGACTGGATCCGGATGTCCAGTTGGTCAGAGTTGAGGTACTGGTTCCGTCTGAGAGGACAGCAGACAGCTCGGTGAGGTAGCGCGAGCTCAATGTTGACCCAAAGTGATGCCAGTGTGTTGGCGTATAAACCGCACCTTCCTGGCCGTTTGTGGACCCGCACCTTCCTTGAAACACCCGACTCATATATCATAGCGCCAGTAACTCATCTTGGGCAAGGTTCCTTCTCGTGGTACAGCTGACTTATCAAATTGCTCATCCAGAAGCAGACAAGATGCGGTTTATTGCGGCGATTTTGTCGGCGTTGCTGGTATTCTCCTCAGCGGCCACAGCGGCTTTTGGCGCAACGCGTGTGCATCAACGGTTTCAGCAATTCACGTCAAAGCAACGTGCGAGTACTAAAGAACCGGGCTTTGGGACCAAGGAGAGGATACCTAGGAGCCCTGCTTCCAGCCCGCAGTTTCTCAACGCCAACACTACCAGTATGTCGTAGGGATGTTCAAAAATACTCGCTTGGCCGCTTGGCTAACATCTTGCTGGATTCGCTGTCAATGGTAGCGCCATCCCGGAGGTGGGTTTCGACGTCGGAGAGTCCTACGCTGGGTCTCTGCCCATAAGCAGCAGCTCAACCGAGCAGGCCAACTTGTTCTTCTGGTTCTTCCCCTCAACGAACCCAACGGCAAGCAAGGAGATTGTTATTTGGTTGAATGGTGGTGTAAGTGCTCCGTTTTGACTGCCGGCTAACCATCTCTGATCGTCTGACTCCCGTTACAGCCTGGCTGCTCTTCGCTCTCTGGACTCCTGCAAGAGAATGGGCCAATATTGTGGCAAACAGGAACCTTCAAGCCTGTGAGGAACCCCTGGGCATGGAATACTCTCACGAATATGATATGGGTTGAGCAGCCAGTGGGAACGGGGTTTACCACAGGTCCCGCAACTGCGAAGAGCGAAGAGGATGTTGCCTCCCAATTCAATGGGTTCTGGAAGAACTTTGTCGACACTTTCGGGATCCATGGCTACAAGGTCTATATTGCCGGAGAGTCTTATGCGTGTGTACTCGTCATCCCTCCAACTCCTTAGTTCATATCTGTCTCTAATATCGTGCAGTGGCATGTATTGTCCGTACATAGCGAGCGCCATGCTGGATGCCAACGACAAGAGTTATTTCGACCTCTCAGGGCTCATGATATACGATCCCGTCATCGCCGAAGACGCAATTCAGTCGTTAATACCCATGGTCCAGTTTGTTGACTACTGGAACGGTCTTTTCTCTTTCAATGATACCTTCCGCGACTCGCTCCATGCTCGAGACAAGAAGTGTGGACA